AGAATGTTAAATATTTAGTCATCAATAGTTGGACTTTTAGCATCATCATTTTCATCATCGAGTTCATCATCATCAAGCATACCAAATTTATTCGATAATTGAAGCTGTATCATAGAATTAAATTATATTTAATGGTAAAAATATTTATTTTATATACTTACTTTTTGTGAATCATCTTCAGTTTTAACTGTCCGTCGTGCTGTTCCTCTAGAAAATTAAAAAAAAAGAAAAGAAACAAAATGAAGAAAATATTTTTTGTTTTAATAAAATTGGTACCGTGGTTGATTTCGAGATTGTGGTTCAGTATTAACGTTAGTATTTGATGAACGTCCAGGATTATTATATTCATTTGTATCTTGATTACGATCATCACGATCACGAGGTCGATAATTACCACGTTCATTATCTAAATATATATATTATACTGAAAAAAAACAAAAGAAAAAATCCATTTCATTCGATACCTCGCTCTGGTTGACTGTGATGATTATATTTGCCTTTACGACCAGAATCATAATCACGTCGAGATGGACCACCATATCGATCTCGATCATGACCACCACCACCACTACCACTACCACTACCACCACCACGACGATAATTATCATCATTACGTCTTCTACCCTCATCTTCATATTGTCGGCCACCTACAATTAAAAATCATAAATATAGTAAAATTAATTTTTTGAAATCTATACCACTAAATTCCCGTTTATGATGATAATCTACACCATGACCAGATCGACCTTAAAAAAATTAAAAAAAAAAAGATATTTTTGAATTTATTCAAAAAGCAAAACTTCTATAACCATCATCATTTTGTGTTGAACGTTTACTACGATAAACATCTCGTTCACTACCACGATTATATGATGGCCTAAATAGACAATAGAAAACTTCAATGATAATCACTTGAAAAATGCTAAATACAGGATATTTCAAAAGTTCGGCCGTAAAAGAAACGTCAGTATCTCTTTAACCATTCAATTGACTTACATGAGATTTTTATAGTTTCATTCTGTATTCATCAGAATTTTATTTCACATCAATTTATTTCTAATAGATTTACAAAATGATCACCTAGAAATGCAATACACAAATCTCATACTTTTAAAATATCTGTAAAAATATCGTATGAAATTTAGTTTGAATTCTTTTTGATTTGATCATAAATTTTCATTTTCAACTGAACTAGATCTTTGACAAATATCTAATAAAAATTATTCTCTACATGTTCATGTAAAAAGACGTTTAGTTGCATCAGTTCAGCTGACCATGATGCCCATGGAAATGAATTGCCTTCGCTATTGTACTTGCTTGAAGAAATGTTCTTCAGAAATTAACAGTCTTTGAGACTAAACTGTACAGAAACTCCATCTTTGTGAAATAATATGGAGTTCATCTAGCATAATCTTCTTATTTCTGAACTAAAAAAAGTTTACAGCATAGTAAAATATTTTTCTTTAAAAATCAGCATGATTTCAAACTAAATTTCATACGATGCTTTTACAGATATATTCAAAAAAAAAGAGATTTGTATATTGCATTGATAAGTGATCATTTTTGTAAATCTATCAGAGATAAATTTATGTGAAATTAATTTCTGATGAATATGGAATGAAACTATAAGTCTCATGTAAATCGCTTGAATGATTTAAAAAGATATTCATGTTTGTTTTTCAGTCGAACTTTTGAAGCATTCTGTATAAATTACCTAGATGAAGTTCCTTTATCTTCATTATCAGCCGATGTTTCAGTTGTAGTCATTTGAAGTTCTTTTATTTTTCTTTCAATTTCAAGCTCTCTAGCAGTTGTATCCACCGGTTTAGCTCCACCAAATATAGAAGCACCAGCACCACGGCTTGGTTTTGCTGTTGATTGTTCATCAGATGTATTAGCTCGAGAAGTATTATCATTTGAATCTCGTGTTTGTTGTTGTTCACTTTCATCCTGATTTTCATTGATTGATGAATCTTGTGTTTGTTGAATAGATTTATTTGTTATTGCAGATGATGCTTCATCCGGATTTGATATTGATGATTCAATAATATTATTAAGAGATGATGATGAACCAGATAATGGTTGATTTTCTTCAAGTGGTTTTGTACGTTTTTGAAGTTGAAGTCGTTGACGTTCACGTGGTGGTTCTTGTTGATCATCATGAGTATCATCTAATTTTATTTCGAGAAAAACGACTTAATAAAAAACAAATAAGAAACAAAAAGAATTAAATACCACTGGGACGATTTCGATCACGTGTATCACTGAAATAATTTTTTTAAATAAAAATTAAAAAAAACTATTCTTTTTCTAAAATAATATTATACCGTGTATCACTGTATCGACCTGCATAACGAGGTCTATCGGCTCCACTATTCGATCGATTTGTATCATCTTGATAACGATTACGTTGTCCTTGTCGATTATAATCACGATTACCACCTCCACCTCCACGATCGTCTCTCGTACGTGGATAACCAAATCCATAATCATTACCTTGTTGATTATCTCGTGAACTACCACCCATAGTCGCTTAAAGAAAAAAATAAACCAAATTTTATTTTTCTTCGAAATACTATACAAAATAACTTACATCGTCCATGATCTCCACGATTTTGTCTATCACGATTGAAACCACTACTTGGACGATCATCAGATGTTTCATCAGGTCGGGCTAAAAAGAATTTTTTTAAGTATCTTTGTTTTTTAGCAAAAAAAAAAGCTGTTTTCACAATTCTTAGAGGATTCAAATATGAGCACATTTCTTCATTGTCTTACTCTCGAAATGAAATCAGGAAGTAGTTCTTATATTGGAACGAGACGCTATTCATAAATGATCTCTGAATGTATATTCAAGTTCGTGACGTTACTCACAAGGGAATTTCTTAGACTTCCCATTTCTAATCTTAATCATTCTCTTTCCTATAGATACTACATTGAATTCTAATAGAAACTCTAAAAGGATTTTATTTCTGATTGAGATTTATCTACGATATCGAATTTGTAATATGACACTATTCTAGCGATGTCAGGCTTTCTGAAAATTCTTATTGAAGAATTTAAAACTAAAACTTTGTGCACATCAAGAATTTAGCTAGACTAACTTTCTTGAAAAAAAAAACTCACAAGTTTTCAGGCAAGCCTCTTCAGGACATGAAACTTTCAATAGGGAAACCCTTTTTGATGAATAGTATGTACAACATGCTTTTTTTGAAAATTTCTTCTCGCGAAGAGACTTTATTCGAAACCTCTGAATCTTTTTATGGCAGCTAGTTCAGTTGAGCTCTCTATATGTACAAAATTTCAAATCAGAATTCATAAAAAAACGAGTTTTTCAGAAACCTGAAGCTTCTAAAAGACAGACATATTAAACAGTGGGTATCATAATTCAAATTCTAATCGGAGACCAAGGCCTTATAGGATTTTTATTACAAAACAATGTAATATCTATAAGATAACAATCACTGAAATCGAAAGGAGAAGCTGAAGAGGTTACCGAGGAAGACGTCTGTAAAGGGTTCAACTTTTTATTTCCAGATGTCTACACTCATTTTCGATCGTGCTTTACAAAAAAAACAGTGCAATATTTACGTTCAGCTCTTTTCCATCTATCAGCCATTTCTGGTCGTTCTTCACCACCACCACTACGATGTGATCGATTACTACCAAATGTTCCTCGTCCACTATCTGTATGTGAATCATTTTTATCCGAAACATTAATACGTATTTTACGTCCATAGACTTCTTTATCGGATTTTTTCAATGCTTCAATTAAATTTTCACGTGTTTCAAATTCAACTAAACCAAGACCTCGACTACGCATACCATCTCGCAGTACTCTAGCTGTTTTTGGCTAAATAAAAGAAAAGAAAAGCAAACAAATATAGAAAGAATAAACTTGAAAAAATTATCATACATTTAAATCAGCAAATATTCTTCTTAGACCTTCATCATCAACTTCAAATGATAAATTAGCAACATGTGCAACAAAGGGGGGATTATTTGGTACAGTACTAAAATCAAAATCATGGGCACTACGAGGAGCTGTTGGTAAAACACCAATATCAACAACTAGAAGAGCAGAAAAAAAAAAATTTTTTTATTTTGTTCTTTTTGAATTTAATTTATTGATTTTGTTACCAATAGGTTTTACTTCTTGTTCTTCACTATCGACTATTTCTGACCAATTTGTTGCTCGTACAGTAACTAATTTTGGTTCAGCAGCCAGAAAATCAGTCAATGGCATTGTTTTGCCTTTTTTCTGTTTTTTCGATGCCATTATTTAACTTTTAACTTTTGAATATGTGTTTTGGATTTTAATTATATTGATAAATTTAATAATGTGTTTTTTTTTTTTGTTAACAATTGTTTATAGCCATTCGATATTAAACAATAGAATGACAAGATATTGAAATAGTTCGTTGATTATAAATGAATAACACTAATGAATGAAACAATAATAACATGAACAAAAGACGAAAAAAAAAAACAGATAATATTATAATCTATAAAAAGAAAAAAAAGAAACTTGATAAATATGACTATTCTTTATTATTTTTTTTTCTTCATTTTTGAGTACAAATATAGTACACAATAAAAAGAGGACAGTCAACAATAAAAAAAAAAAACCTTCTTCATTCTGTATATTTATTTATCAATATTTAGTACTAAGAGAGACATGCGATACATGAATTTACTTTTTTTTTATAAACGAAAAAAAAATTAAATTATTTTTATTTTTAATAATTTTATTTTTTTAGAAAAGAAAATAATTTTGTTTTTTATTTTTATTTTAAATATAGATTATTTATTTCTTAATTTTAAAACATTAATGCATTTAATAAAAAAATGCATTATGTATACATAGAGGTTAAGTCAAAGAAATGATCAAATGAATGGTATCTTTTGAGAACATAAAACTATATCTATATTAAATGTCCTTCTGTCATTGAGACAAGCATTTCTCTTTTCCTTTTTTTTCTTTCATTTTTCTTTTGTCAATGAGTAACACAACGTGTTCAAATCAAAATCTTAATGTTAAACATGTTGCAACTCTATTCGAAGAAGTTCAAAATCGTTATATTAAAAAATTAACAACTATTGATGAAAAACATATAACAACTGATGAACGCCATAAGGTATATTCATTTAATTGTCATTAAATATGTATTGATTTTGTTTTTTTTTTCTTTGATTGATCAAGTGTAAGAAGAAGAAAAAAAAACACATATTTATGGAAAATCTTTTGTGATATTGAAATATTAAGAATAGGTTTTTGTTTAACAAATCATTTTTTGACGAATAGAACAAACTCGATTTTGTTATGACACTTGACGAACACGAGAAATGTCTAAGGTTTCCTCTTCAAATAACTGATGACATGAGCTTGTTGAAAAATTGATTTTTGCAATGTGGTTTGTAGGAGACGTGAAGGCGAGAAGATGAAGAGTGTACAGCCTTCTCCTCAGTAATCGAAATTTTTTTTTTATTATTTCTCTAGGACATTTTCTTATACTGCCTTTATTCTAATCTTGTGACAGTCGTGCAGCCTTTGGCTTTCTATTTCTAATACCCACTTATAATTCAATGAATTTTTGATGTTTCTAAAGAAAATATTTGGTTTTCTGTTTATCATTATTTCAATGAAAAATCATAGGCGATGTTATTTTGAATGTAACTCTATCAAATTTCCTGGTTATCGGAGTAAAGTTTTTTTGCAAAGATCTTGTAATACTGATCAATTGGAATTGTAAGATTGCATCGAAGAAATTTCATTTATCATTGTATATCTGATAGAATAAAACAGATTTATGTTTATAATAAAGTTGAATAAATAATATTTTATATTTTAGCAAAAATTAGCTGTTTATGAGAGCTATGTAAAAGATTTATCAATTCAAACACGTTTATTATTACAAAGTCTTGATGAGCTTGAAAACGAAGCTAATCAACGTGTTGCTTTACTTGAAAATAAACTTAAAAAAGCACATGCATCTTTACAAGTATGTTTAATTATTTGTAGTTCCTTTATTTCTTGTAATTTTTTGTTCTACAATGTCTAGCAACATCATTCATTGTCAGATGTAACAAAAAGTGTTAGCGTAAGTAATCCAAAAAAAAAAGAAATAAAAATCGATATCGAAAAGAAAATGTATCTAAGTGTCAAGTTGCTGTAGAGTCAGGACTTCGTGTATCTGGACTTTCCAATGAACTATTGATATTCTGAAAAGAACTTGGACGAATAGCTTATTACTGCCAAAATATTGTATTTTTTTAGCAGATTGTCGTGATTCTTCTCAGAAATATTTGAAAAACTGAATTTCGAGTTGCATAGAGACAGACCTTAACGAGAATAGCTTATTGTGAAAGTTTCAGATTTTTCGATTGCATGTTTTTTCAAAAAGATCATTAAAACTTGCCGTTGTCTATGAGCGGCATGGACAACATGCTTCTACTATAGTCATATCTTAGAATAGAGGCAATCGAAAAATCTGAAACTTTTACAATAAACTACTCTTTTTAAGGCCTGTTGCAATACAAGGTTTTCAATTGAAACTCAAAACTCAGGTTTCCTAGTGTTTCTGAAAAGGAACACGATAATCTGTTTAAAAATGCAGTATGTTGACAGCAATAAGCGATTAGTCCGAGTTCATTAGGAAGTCAAGATACAACATTTCTGACCCGACAGCGGTTTGACAATTATAAACAATTCCTCGTAAGTATCTAACTCAATTCCAAATAGTCATTTGCGTAGTCAACGTCGCTATTTATTAAGTCCATTCTACATAAAAATTTTATAGATGAATTATAAAAAGTTTTCTGAGCAACTAAACACGATAGTTTTTAGCTCTCAGAAGATTGTATGAAAGTTAGTTGTTAATGGTCCTGTTATGTCCTACTTTTATATTATATAAACTTAAGGACAAAATAAGTTCAATAGTGTGGCCCATAACTGTTTGTTTCTTTCTTGAACTTAAAGAATCACTACTGGTACATAATATTGCATGCATATAAGTCATTTCGAAGAAAGAATAAAGAAAAGAAACAAAAGACAAAAGATGAACAATACATATTTATATGAATGTCATAACATAACAAGTCCCATCTAAAGAGTATAAAATTTTGAACATAATAAGTGACTACCGCATCATCAATGAGTTTCTTTTAAAAGTTGTAAGCAACATAAAATACATAAACAAAGAAGTTTTACTTAAATTGCTTTTTTTTGCATTGTGTGTGATGATTATATCTTTATATATGAAAGTCATGGAAAACACAGCCATCTCTCATTTTGTTCAGAATCTGATATTATTTAAGATGATATTATTAACAACTAATTTTCAAACAGTCTTCTAGGATCTGAAAACCACTATGTTTGATTTTTTAGAAACCTTTTTTTCTTATAGTTTATGTATGAAATTTTGTTATACAATGCATTTTATAGAGAACTTCATTGGCTATTCAAATCATTATTAGAATTTGAGTTACATGCTCAGTATTATAGAAAAAAAAAGCGAAAAATACGTAGTACTCTTAGTTTTGATTTGTATAATGTATAAATTATTATTCTTGTCTATTTTCTTAAAGAGCATTGAATCGGAAAAGTGGAAATTGAATCATGAAAATCTTGATTTAAAACATGATCTCGATTCATTAACAACATTTATTAATACCGCTAAACGAACGGGTAAATGGGATACAAAAAGACTTCAATTAAAAACTATTCCACTTGATCGTATTATTGGTATATCAAATGACGATATAAATCCTACAGTACCTTTACATAAAGAAATTCAATATCGTGATGAACGTATACAAGTTTTACAAGCTGAAATTGAACAACTTCGAAAAACAAAAGATGAATTAATTAAACAAGTAGAAAACTATTATTATTTAACTTATTCATGTAAAAATATTTCATTTTCTTTTTTTGTCAAGACACCGAATAGGCAGTCATCTTTCGCTTCATTTATGGCAGATGATAATTCAAAAGAGCAAGTTTGTATTAATGTTATTTATTAATAAAATTTTCAAACTTCTTTCTTAGAATATTGTTCTTTCAAAAAAAGTTGAAGATCTTCGTGCTAAACTTGTTGAAGAATGTCAAAAAACTGAAACACTTAAAATGGATGTAAGAAATATTTTTTACATTTATAATAATCATTCATTTGAATTCTTTTATGAAATACGCTCTGAAACGAGTGTTGAAATATAGGAGGGTCACCGAAATTGAATTTTTCAGGATTGATCTGTTTTATATCAAGTATTGATTTTAACTAGACTTATAATAGATTCTAAGTGTGACAAAAGAGAACCATGCTTCTAAAAAGTCAGTCTTCATTCTCAATTGATTGTCGATCATAAGTGTATTTCTCACTATCACTGTCAGCCATTGTACTTGCCTGCAGCTTAGTTTCTTTGGTTTGATGACCGAAAAAGTAAATTCTGGCAGCTAATGAGAGAAAGAGAGAACATAGCTGACAGCTAGCACCATTATCCCCCTATCCGTCTCATAGACTATGATAGGCATCTTAACAATACCTCTTCACCGTCACGACTGGCGATAGACATAGTTGTAGAATGAAATCACATTACAGAATTAGTATGATGGTTTTTCTTATTTTTTCTCATCCATTGTTCATATCTTTTATCATCAACGTGCATTTTAACAGTAGTATTTTACATTTGAATGTCGTACGAATTGCGCTATGGGCTTCATTTTCTTTATCTATCAGACACGTCTCAAAACTAATGAATTACGAGATCTTCAAGAAGAATATCAAAAAAATAAACAACATTATGATGAACATACACATGATTTATCAACAAAACTGAAAACAATAACAGATCGTCATCGAGAATCAACAACATCACTAAATAATGATATTAAACTAAAAAAACAACAAATTGAACAATATACGCAACAAATTGAACAAATTTTAAGTGAAAAAGTTCAACTTGAAAATGAACGTAACGATTTACAACGACAAGTTGGTTTAGTTTTTTTCTTAATAAATCTTTTTCTTCTATTATTTGGTCGTTTTTTTATTAGTGTCGTGTTAAAGATACAATAACAGCTGATTTAGAAGTACAAATTCGTAATCTTCAACGAGAATTAACATCAAATAATTATCCAATTATTCCTATACAACCTGTTGAATCAACAGTATCAAAAATTGAATATGAAAAACTTGATCAAGAATTACATTCAACTAAAAAACGACTTGATGGAATTACAGCTGAAGTAAAGAATTAATATGAAAGAATAGATTTGTTTAATTTAATTTAATTTGCTTTTTTTTAGCTTAAAACAAAAGATGCTTTAATCAATAAACTTGAACAAGATCTTCGAGCATTAAAAAAATCTCATGATGAACAATTAGAACAACATATTGAAACATCAACAAATGATGCTGAACAATTACATACAGAAATTCGAGCATTAAAACGTCTATGCGAAGAAAAAAAAGATCAAGTATATCATTTTTTTCATAGAAAGAATTATGATAATAACGTTAAGGGTGTCTACCTCTTGTTTGACCGTTTCTGATCTTGAAAGATAGTATAACCGATGAAGCTGAAAGTTTTATCATTGAAGTCGAGACTACGGTTTTGGCTTCGAACTTTTATGTGTTTCTCTCATAAAGAAATAAAAAGCAAGTCAAATTCTTGGAAAAGCTTAAAATTACCTTCAAAATATTGTCTTAGGTATCTCTAAAAACATTTTCAACTAAATTGAATAAAGTTTCATTGAGATCATAAGCAAGCAGGATGCAATCCAATCGGAACCATAGTTTTCCAGCAGGAATCCACTTCAAAGTCTTCGAAAACCAAAATCGGTCACAAAAGAGGGAATATCTTTACGTTCGGTATTATATATTAAAAAGTTATTCTCGATTAGAGACTTGTATGATGATGAGATGTACAACACAGAAGTGAAAATCAAATCAAAATGACATATTCGATATGTCTCTAGTTCTATGATTAGTAGATAATGTATTTTACTGTCTTTGAAACAAGATAGTTTGGAAAACGAATTTGTCCACAGTTACTGATGCAATTTTAACAAAGATAATCCTGAGCTTATGAATATGTTCGAATTAGATGCTTTCATGGGGTTGCTAAAAAAATATGTTCAATCAAATCGATATTCTACAATAGATGCAATTTCCATATTAGCGCTTGTTCTAATAACATTCTTCTAGATTATCATTTAACTATCTTCGAGACTGATTATTAAGTATCACTAATAAAACAATCATTGGAATAGAATATTAAGAATTTGCAATATGCCAATAATATAGATAGAGTGATTAGGAACATTCTCGTTCGTTAGTAGACATCTGCGTGACTAGTCACGCAGATATCTATTCGTGAGTGAATTTTTCGCTCTATCATTCCGTATGGCGAAATAAAAACTTTATGCCTTAGTTATAGATGCTGAAAAGCTAGAAGTTTGGATCCTCAGAAATCTACCAAGGATCATTCTATATTTTGTTCATCTCGTATCTATCAAACTATTGTGAGACTTTAGAAGAATACGTTCCCATCATGTATTTTCTCTCTTGGTAGGAATACATTATATTTAAAAAATATCAGATGTTTCGACATATTCTCAAAATTTTTAATTTCATTTCTATAATCGTTCTACAAACAGTCAGTCAAGTAGTTTAGAGAGTAGTTTAAAAAATAATGTTTACACTCACTATGTCAAGCTTTGCACAACCATCTTAAATCTTCTGATCAGTGACTTTTTTTAGATGTTTAAAATAATCTTTCGCCACATCTAGTACCCAATGATGAAGTTCAATTTTATAGAACATTTAATTCATCATCTTAAAATTCTTAAATATTTATTCTATACGAAACACTCGTTTATCTTTTCTTTTGTTTTTAGCTTCATAAGCAATCGTTAGAATTACATACATGTCAAGAACATTTAATAGTTGAACAAAATAAAAATATTACAAATGAACATGAACAGGAAAAATTATCTAATATAATACATTTATCAAAAGAACAAATTGAAAAACTTGAACATAATTTACAAGAATCGAAAATAAAAAATGAACAATATGAATATACAATAAATGAATTAACTTCTCGAATAAATTTAATTGAAACAAAATTAATTGAAGCAATGACATTAATTGATTTACGTAATAAAACATTAATTGATTATGAACAACAAATGGATAAAATAAAAATTGAATTAATACAAAAACATAAAGAAATTCTTGATAAACAATGTCATATTGATCAATTAGAACAAAATGTTATCGATAAAACAGCTGAAGTTGCACATTTAACTGAAACACTTGAAACTGGTCTTGTTAAAATTCATCATAGAGAAAAATTTGCTGAAGATAATGCATCTAAAGCATTACATGATGTTAAAGTTTTACAACGTGAAGTAATAAAAAAAAAAAAAAGACTAAATTTTTTTGTAATTAATTAATATTATACATTGATTTTCTCTTCTTATTAGCTTCGTCATGTATCAGAATCATTAACTCAACGTGAACATGCAAATCATGCACTTAATCAACAAATTCAACAATTAACAAATGAATTAAAAATAAAACAAGATGAATTTCAACAAATGCAAAAATCATTAAATAAACAAGTAATTAAATTTTTTCAAAATAATACTGATAAAAGAAACTTACTTTCTATCTTTTTTTTTTGTTTCTAGTTAGCAATTAAACAAGAACAACTTCTACGGTATGATCAAAATCTTCATGAAGTAGAAATAAAATCAAAATATGCTAAAGAAGAATGTTTAATACAAGAAAAAGAAATTGCTCGTTTAAATAATGTTCAAGAAGAACAAGAAAATCGTATTAAAATATTACAACAAGATCTATTAAAACTTCAAGAAGAGGTATTTATTATAGAAAATTATTTTAATACACTATAAATTTCTCGTGATTTTTCTTATTAGAGGAAGAAAATCTAAATCCATGAAAAAAAAAAAGTCTTCCAACTAATAAATTAAGTTTTTTGAATCAAGACTACATGCATTATGTAGGTTCAAATAAACTATAAAAACTCTGAAAAAAGTTTAAGCCTTTAGTTTATTGCTGTCTAAGATAATGCCAAAAAAAACTACTTCACAATAAGCTAACAAAAAAACTTTCAGGGAGAAAAGCTTAAAGCAAAACAAAACTTAAGAGAAAGAATACTTCATGACTCTTTTCCATTATTGTCTGACTCGTAGTAGACTTATTCAAAGGGAAAAAAAAACATCTTACATTGAAGTTTTATAAGTACTCATATCATTTTCGATATGTTCTATTTAAGTGTACATAATTGCAAGATAAACACGGCAAATAACTAACGTCTACCATACATAAAATCATAAAAGGTTGTGGCATTGAAAATTCTACTTCAACAAACAAAATGACTTGAAATATTTTTCAAAATGATATGGAACAGTAAAATAATACCAATAGTTTGAAAATTTACAATAAACAAATATGAAATACGATTCCCTATAGTATACAGTGAAACTGATGGATAATAATATTATATGTGAGAGAAATAGTTATAAATGAGTACGGAAAAATATATCACATAAAGCAAATGAAAACCCAAACGAACAAACAAACGTAATGGATATAAGGCTTCGAGTTTGACTCTGAATGTTTGTGTAAGTATGGGTGCTACTGTCAAAAAGGTTGATATCGATACCAGGGTTGGAACCGGTACCGGTCCGGTAAAGACCGGAATTTCACCGGTTGAAATTTTTCAAAAATCTTCTTTGTTAATCCTGTCTTTGACGATAAAAACTAAGGTATCACATGTTTTTTCTGTCAGAATAGGTAAAAAAGTGCTCAAAACATATGTTATATTAATCGTTGTTCCTGAGGTTCTCTTTAAAAAGATTCATTATGATGAGCGTCTTTTACATGCGCCTTAAACTATTTCATATTTGGAGCGATTTTTTCTAAAAATCGGTTTAAAAAAAAAAATTCGACATTTTTCCACCGGTTTTTAACCGGTTTTCACCGGTTGGACATGTGATTCCAACCGGCCGGTTTCCGGCCGGACCGGACCGGTAGGATTTTTCAACCGGGCGGACCGGACCGTTTTAATATTTCTCAATCGGTTCCACCCCTGATCGATACTCACATCCTCAATAGTATGTTACAAATCGAAAGTGAACCTAAAGATAGTAATATTCTCAAAAAACTCAACATCTTTAATTGATATTGAAATGGAACGAACAATAATATTAAAATCTTAGAAAAAAAAACTAAATTCTAAAAATATTTATTCGTGTATTTAAATATGATTTCAATGAAATAAATCATATTCTATTTGTTTTTGTTTTTTTTCTGTAGAAAGAATCCATAAATGTTCAATATGAACGTTCCGAAGCTGATATACGTAATATAAAAATTTTACGTGAAGATGAAACACATAAATATCGTCATGAAATAGAAAAATTAAATAGTGAAATAATATCATTAAAAACAAATGAAACTGATTTATTAAAAAATATTGATGAATTAAAAGAAAATCTTTTCAATATAACAAGTGAACGTAATGATATACGAGAACAAAATGAAAATTATCAAAATGAAATTGAAAATATACAAAAAATGTTATATGATGAAACTGAATCAGCTTCAAAATCTGCAACAAAAATTGTTTTATTAACACGACAATTAGATGAAGAACAAAAACGTGCTATAGATGCTATACGTCAATTAGATGAATTAAAAATGCAATCGAAAAGTTCATCAATGACAATTGATACATTAAAAACTGAACTAAGTCATGCACGTTCACTTATACAAGAACATTCTATTAAAGTATACGATTATGTTATTTTTAATAAGATAACATAGTTTTTTTTTTGTTCATTTTATAGGAAATGGATTTAAAACAAAATGTAAATCGAACAAATTCATTATTAGAAGAAACAAATAAATCACTTGATGATCGACAACGTGAAATTGAAACTCTTAATCATCTTTTATCACGTTTACAAATTGATTACGAAAAATCAAAAAATGATTTATCTATCGTACAAGATCAAATAATGCAACATGAAATTGCAAATCAAACATTAAAACAACATTTAACAGAAAAAACAAATGAAGTAGACAAAGCATTATTTCTTTTTTTTTTTCTTTATATCTTTTTATTTTTTAATTTTAGTTATCAGCAATTACAAATCGTCTTCATCAAATACAACAAGATTTTCATTCATATGAAAAAGAACATCGATATTCAAATGAAGAATATTTTGAACGTGAACAACGTATGAAAACAATCGAAAATGAATTATCAATGATGATTAGTAATTATGAAAAACTTCAACGTGAACATACTACTTTAAATGAAGATTTAACTAAATGTCAATATGATCTTGAACAAAGTCAAAAGTCTGATATTTCACATAAAGAACAGGTAAATAGAAATATTAAAATTACGATTTACTATTAATTATGTATATGCAGAGTATTTGGAAAGTCATCTACCAAAAAGAAAATCATATACATCCATTACGCTCAAATCCAATCAAGTGACTTCTTTTTCTACTTATAGAGAAGACTGCCAAGTTTTTAATTAGAAAGTTAAAGTTTCTGAAATTTTTACTATTCAGATATTTTGGTCTAAGTTTACAGCTATGTGTATGACAGTTTTTTGAAAAATTAATGACATTAGTCTCAAATTTAGTGACTGTGAGAACCATAAAATCGTGCCAGTTTTATCATTTGATTTATCAATATTTTCAATGAGGACTAAATGTACTGATTACTTAAGATTTTTCAAAACTTTTATGCAAATAAGTATTAAAAAGAGAAGAAAATCTGGATGGCGAAAAAGGCTAGAATAACAAAAAAATTAAAGTAAGCTACTGGGAAACTGTGCCTTCAAAATTCGAAAACAAGAATTTTTTCTCATAGAGAATTCAAGATTAGTAGTTTTTACAAATATGTGTAAATTTTAACTTTATGAATAAAAACTTGAAAGTCTCTTCTATTAGCAGAAAAACAAGCTATTTGAATTGGTTTAACTGAAGTAGAGATACGCGGTTTTCTCTTTGATTGGTGACTTGCCGAACATTCTGTATATGGTAAAACTTGAATTACTTCGTGGGTCTATATTGTAATTGAATTCTTATTGATAAAAGCAGCGGAAGCAAACAGAATTTCAATTAATGCAATCATCAATTGAAGAATCAAGTAAAGATTCGAGTGATTATGAATAGTTTTCATTAAACCAATTCTTGTATATAAAATCATCTATGAATTCAAGGATTCAAACGTAAATGATCAATTGATGACTATATTTATTTGAAACACCATTACTATCTTTCAGTTCATTCATAAGAATTCGAATATGATATCGATCTACATAGTAATTTCAGTTTTAATATGAATGACTTCCTCAATTCAAAATTGATCGTACTCTCAGTTTGAGCTTTAACGCATCTTTGTATATATTTAGTTACTACAATCAATAGAAGAAGCGAAAATCTGTAAACGAAAACTAGCATTACTTGGCAATTGTTTCAAGACAGTTGTTCGAAAGGTAAATTGTACTAAAGACTATCTTATTGAAAAAGTTTCTTCTATGACTAATCTTTGTTTTCAATAGGCATCTGAAACAAGTGAACGATGGGCTTATATTACATCAAAACTTCATGAACAAATAACTGATTTAAGTGAAGATGCAAATAGACTTCGTATACTTGATGAACGTTTTGAACAATCAACAAAAACTTTAACACTTTTACGAAGTCACCATGAAGATTTAATTTTACAATTCATGACTATTAAACCTGTTCTTGAAAAAGCTCATTTATATGTACGAGAATATAAACGTAAATGGTCTCAAACAAGTGATGAAAATCGTCATTTACGTATGGAAGCAAAACGTATGAGAACTAAAATTGATGATTTTCATCGAGCTGAAGGTATAATGCATACAAAAATTGATGAACAAGAAATGAATTTAGTACAATTACGTAAAGAGCTCAAGTAAATCTTTTTTTTTTTCTAAATAATAATTTATTTATTTTCTTCTGTTCTTTTGTCTTTTTCTAGTAATACAACACAAGCTCATTCTGAAGCTCAAGCACTTATTGAACGTTTAAAACATACATTAGATGATACAATACAAGAACGTGATCAATTAATTAAAAATATGACAAATGCTAATAAAAAGGTAATAATTTAATAAGTTTTCAAAATGAAAGTTGATTCTGAATTTTGATTTTTGATTTTTAGATTGAAAAACTTGAAAATGATAGTGATGGATATACAAATGAAAATCGTTTATTACATCAAGCAACACAAAAATTAGAAAAACAATTAGCAAATACACAGGCACATAATGAATCATTACAAAGAACATATCAACAAAATGAATTATCATATCAAGAAAAAGTAAAAGTTTTATTTTCAAAATCTCTAAAGAACTTAAAACAAAATCTGTATGTTTTAGATAAATGAATGTGAATCATTATTAATATCATTAAAAGAAGCAAATAAAGATTCATTATTTTTATTAGAACAGAAAAAAGCTGAATTAAATATGTCACAATCAGAAATACAATCATTAAAATATGATCAATCTACAACATCTGCCAAGGTTAGATTTTTACGTATTATAACTAAACGATATTGATATATGATCTCAGATCGTATATCAAGAACATTTGTCATGATCTGTGACTGAGATAGAGGATGTTAGAGCCCATTGGATTCAAAGTTTTAAAACCTTAGTACCTTCAAATTCGAGTCCGAGACCAACCTAAGGGCTTCAGTGAACGTTAGTAAGGCATTTATCATAGTTTGTGAGAGAAGTAATGTTCAACTTTTTATCCGTATACTTCAACGCTCCTTTTAGATCATATTTCAGAAAATACTTCAATATACCAAGTTTACCAAAATTTTTGTAGTATTTTTTGTTTGGAAAATATGTCAGCTGAGAAATCAAACATCACTCAAAGTTTCCTACCAGAAGATGTAGCATTATTTGGTTTTCGAAAATTTCCGCCATGTCCAATCGTTAAATTGCTCGTAATTAAGGAAATTTTTAAAAAATTCATCCGCCGCCACTGTCACAAGAAATAATTTAGAATAAATCCAATCGTTACCAGTGAGTGATGTATCTTCATACATCTCTAGTATCTCAAGTTTCAATTAACTGGTACCTTAGTCAAATAAAAAAAATCATGTTAATTAGTTTTTCCAATTAGAAAATTTGAGATATAATATGAATACAATTAATAAATATGTTGCCAAACGTAATATGAATTGTTTGTTAAGTTCATTATTAATTTTAGTTTATATTATCATTTAAGTATAATTTTTAATGTAAAATTTCTCAATATATTTTTATTTAGTTTGAAAAAATTGAAGAAATGAATCAAGAATTAAAACGACGTATATCTATTCTTGAACGATCAAATGATGAATATAAACGTTTAATACGAAAACGTGAAAAAGAACATGAACAAATTAAAAATGAATATGAAAATAATATTAAAAATATTTCATCACTTAATAATAAGGTATTTAATTCGATTTGTACTTTTTCTTTTTGAAAATAATCACAAAAAATAAAATTTTTTTTTTTTTGCCCTCTTTTTCTTTAGTGTACCAAACAAGATGCTGAATTAAATATTCTTCGTCTTGAAAATGCAGCTTTGACTGAAGAATTGAAATTAATGCGTGAAAATGTTGATCGTTGTGAACAAGAACAAAGACGTTTAAGAAAAGATTGTGATCAAGCATTAAATTTTATTCATGATGGTATTCCAGAATTGTGGTAAAAATAGTCACAAAAGCAAAAAAGTTTTTGTTTGTTTTTTTATATAATGGGCGTTGTCATGTGTTACGTTCTAGTTTCTTCCCTAGTCATTTAACCATTTACTTACATTTGTGTGTATCTAAAAAATGCATTTATATCAGATAATATTGTTTTCATACCTGTTTTATTTTCCTTCCTTTTTTTTTTGTTTTGTTTCTTTCAATTTGCAATCTCATTCACGTTGTTTGTGTGTATATTAGTATTAATTCTCTTCTAGTCAATTAATATAATATTCATGTTCCATGCACTATTTGTCCGACACTAAATAAATGTAGAATAGATGATTGATTATTTGAATTCTTTCTTTTTTAAATGAAAAACTTTCAATTTATCTAGTTTGGACGATGGTATTACTAACAATAATCGAAATGGAACATTACAAGAACATTTAAAAAAAATTCCATCATTAATGCAACAATTAACAGGCGATAGAGAAAATTTAAAAACTAAAAATGCACTTTTAGTACAATTTGTTCGTGGACTTACTTATGATCTTAATGATTGTCAGAGTAGTCAGAAAAAATACAAAGTAAATTTTTCGATTTATTTTTAATTTTTATAGAATGTAAAAATTTTCTTTTCTTTTATTTGATTATAAACAGTTACTTAAAGCACATTCAAAACAACAACAATTATTATTAAATCAATTGGAAGCTCACGTTCGTTTTTATGAGTAAGATTATTTGCATTTTATCTACTTTGTTTATAAATTTTATATTATTTTTTAGATCTGTATTCAAAGAAAAAGGATTTTTTCCAACAATTGAATATTCTTCAGGATCAACAGTAGCTTCAGCACCTGATGTTATCGACAGTAATCATAACCGGAAAAATTAGATGTAGATTATTGTATAAAAAACAATGATATATTACAAACGTAGATTAGATTTCTGTTTCTCCTTTTTTTTTTTCTTTAGTTTTTTAAATATCAATGTCTAACTTTTTGTAGGACAATATTTGTTTTTGTGTTTGTTGATGCTTTTGTCCGATCAGAGAGAACATAACATGAAAAATAAAATAGCACTCTAGGGGTATTCTGTTTTTTCTCGATATGAGTAAATAGATAAAAGTGGTGTGATTGTTTTTTTCAATATCGTTTACTATTGTGCATAATTTTGTGAATGTTTCTTTTTGTATTGGAATATATTTGTAAGAAGTTCAGGGAATTTAGAATTAGAATAATTTAATAAAATTCAAATATTTCTCAGGTATATATGTATATTCTAATTTATTATTTCGGCATTGTTACTACAATGCTATCTTCTTAATATTGTGTATAAACAAAAGCAAAAAAAAAAAAAGAATTGAAAGAAATAATGGATATGAATATCAAAGAATATCAACAACACAAAAGAATCAAAAAGAAAAAACATCAACGATGAGAAAAATGGCAATATCAAATGAAAGTATCATACTTGTTATTTTTCTTATCATATTTAAAAATTCAGGTCAATAGAATTAAGATTTAATAAATTATTGTTTATGACAATATTATCATTGTTATAGAAGGAAAGTTGATTTGTTTACCAGATCGAACAAATGGGTCTTGTCAGTGGACTTTATTCGGTTGGAATATAAATCATGGATGTGGATACAATCAAAAGATGAGTTCATGTAAATAGAAGAAATTATTTCAATAGATTTATTTCTAAATATTTCTTATTAGATTTATGCATTATGAAGCATCTTGATGGATCAAAATCTACATTTCTCACAAAACTAAATCTATCATCAAATAATCAATATTGTTTAGAATTCAAATATCTTATTACTGGTTCAATTATGAGTTGTAATAAAAAAAAAATAAATCTATTGAATTGTGTAGATTGTGTTTTGTTTCAGCTTGTATGAATTTTTATGGAAAAACTTTGGCTGATACTAAAAAACAATCCATATTATTTTCGAATTTTTGTATTCCAAATGAACAACTTGAGTTACTTTGGTATTCTTTTACTGTTCCACTTCCAAAAAACTTAATTATGGTAAATAAATCTAATAAACTATGAGAAAATTTATTTTATTTAAGAAAAAAAAATACAGATTAATGTAGTCACAGAAAGTAATGGTATTGCTAGCAATCATTCATTAATCATTAAAGATTTATTTATTCAACAATGTGATCAAAGTAAATGTTTATTAAATTAATCTATTTTTATATTTATTTGATATCTATTCTAGCTTCGACATTACGAAACATTCTACCGATGAATTCAACTATAGTGTCTTTATGGTTGAATGCAAAAAAGAATTTTTGGTTTCAATATCGATGGATATTCATCATAGGTATTCCTATACTTTTGCTCTTATTATTCATCATTATTATGATTATTCTCTATACATCTCATCGAATATTTCATCAAAAGTCAACAGTAACCGAACGAATTCAAATTTCATCTATGAATCTTTCTCAACATTTTTATGAAGAACCTATATCAATTATTTTAACGCCTCCAATAGACATAAGTGTGTATGATCATGTTCGAGATAATTATGTATAAAAAAAAAATATTAATAAAATAATTTTTAATATTTTCTTCGAATATTAGCGCGTTGACATTATCTTTTTCTATTTTATTTCAAACAAAACCTTTTATGTTACAATGTCATCAATAATAACCGATGATGAAAATCATCTAAACAAATTAGATCAATATGAATCTATTTTTAAACATTATGGTTTGAAAACACAATCACAACATGTTGATCATCAACAAGAAAAATATCTTATTGAGATAAATAATGAATTAAATAGAAATAATCTATATGAAACTCATAGAAGATTCTTAGAAAGAAATGAGAGTAGCAAAAAAATGAATAATACAAAAACTATGGCAAATAAAAGTTCATCAAAAAAATCTAAAAAAAGCAAAAAATCAAATAAAAAAGTTTGTTTCCAACAATAACATATAAACAACAGTCTAATTCATTAACATTTTTAATCTAGGCTAAGAAAAAGAATTATGAAAAAGTTATAAAAATTACACTTCCTGATGCAGCTAAAGCTCGTAAAACCACATATAGGTATGTAATAAAAACAGAAGGCATTAACAAGTCGTTCAAAAATTAAGATCTCTTCTATCTATTCAATGAATAGTAAACAACAACAAAAACCAAATAAAAGTCAACATAATTCGAATGTACCTTCATCAATGTCTAACGTATCATTAGATGCTCTATCGTCTTCAACAATAAAAACAGTACAGAAATTACCAACATTCGAATATCAAAGCAATGATTCAGTATCAGAAGTACAATCCAATTCATTTCCTATAACAACTTTAAAAAGTACGGATCAAATCATTTCTCCAACACTTTCATTTAATCAACTAAAGATAGATGAAACTAGTCCAAAAAAGAATTCACAAATCAATGGGAAAAATTCTAATTTAAATAATAAAACACCAGATAATTTTGAATTAACATGGGATTTAGATGAAATCAATGATTTCACTCGAAATATGTTGAAACACAGTAATGTTGGTATTTGATATTCTCAATATTAATTCTGTTTTTTTATGGCTTTCTTTTGATCAGATAGTAACACTAAATCTATCATTCGTTCAAATCGAATTCGGTTGAAATGGTATATTTTTCTCTGTTATTATTAACTTTTATGCAAGCTTCTATTGTTTATAGTGCCGTAGATTCAGATGATTATTTAACAAAATATATTCAACGTCAATCTCATTGTTTGGATGTTTTTGAACAATACATTACTACACTGAAACGATCATTTGGTATTATTCGTGAGGCGGCTTCTGATGCACCTATATTTGATCCAGGTCTTACTGTAAGTAAGGTCGTCAGATACTATCATTAGATAATCAAAAACATATTTTATCAGATCATGGGTCCACACGTTAAAAAAGATCCGTCTGTTATTGAGAATGAAGAATCTTATGTGGTAAAGAAAATGGCTAGTATAGAACCAAGAAAGAAATATGCACTGGTTCATGAACAAATAGGAATTTTTATTATTGGTAAATGAACTTTTCGTTTGTTGTTTTCTTGTTTTGGTAAATCATTTTTCATGAAATAAATTCAGGTGGTTACAATCTATATGTCAATGTTCCTATTCAAAAAGAACCTGATACAGATTATTTATTCAAATTCAATGGAAGTACAGTGAAAATTCCACGATTAAGTCCATGTCGAGTTCATTTTGGTGAATAATTAAGTAAAATTAGATTATCATGATTTAACGAAAAAAATTTTTTTTCTTTTTGAATATTATAGGAATATATACAGATGGTGACGCTATTTACGTTGCTGGTGGTCAAACGTTATATAATGAGTAAGTAATCTATGGTGTGGAACTCTGAACACACACTGTTTACTCATTTTCGGCCACCAAAAGGCAACTGTCTAGAGTCAGAAGCAATTAGTTAGAATCGAAGTTTTTCGCTATTTCTAAATATATGTTCAAATTTTTCATCTTTGATAAGACTAAACAAACATCAGTAAATCTTTGTGAATAAGTCCAAAACTGTGTTTATATAAAGTAAAATGGCGATTTTAGCGCAATCGCTAGTTTGTATCTTGGAATCACTGTGACTCCTCAACAGTATTGTAGAGTACTGCATTCTGTACAAAATAAGACATTACAATCTCATAATACTCAAAGTCTATGTACTACTTTCCATGGAAATCGACATTAGTTGAAATGAAACAGTGTTTCAAAAACTTCGTTTAAATACATAAAAGTTTTAACATCTCTCGTACAAGATAAAATAAGAGACTCAATAGGACACTTTATAGCTGATGAGGAAATGTTCCCAAATATTCAATTGTCTAAGTCTTTGTTCTTCAGATATCGAAATTTTACTGCATTTTTTGAATAGAAAGCTGTGGTTCTTCTCAAGTTCCATGAAAATCGAATTTTGAGTTTCGTCTTGATACTTTGTACAAATGAACTTCTTCATGACACTAGTTCATTGTAAAAATTTCTTTGATTTTAGTATGTGGTATCCTGAAATATTACTCTAAGAAGACTTAATTGCATTTTTTTATGAGGCTTTCAATATTCATATCTCAAGATAGCAGACTCAAACATTAGTGAAATTTTCATAATGAGCTAGTTTTATTGACAGATTTATTCGTGCAATGTGTCAAGTCGATACTCGGTTTTCATAGTAACCTGAGAGAATCACAATTTTCTGTTACAAAATTCAGTAAAAATGTGATATCTCAAGAGTAAAGACTCAGAGAACCAAACTTCTTAAAGCTTTTACACCATTTACCATAGCCTTACACTTGCATATAATCTCAATCAAAAAACAAACAAACACTAGGGAACTTTCTCTCTTGAATCATTGAACACTATTTCACATTTTGAATTTGATATCTTTCAATTAAAATAACAAAATTGACCAAAATAATTTTTTGCAGAACAGCTAAGTTTGATCTTTTGGAACAGTCTGATGGCAGTTGTCAAATTTCACCTTAAAAGGAAATTCTGAACGTATATGTGGAAAGAGGAAAAAAATTTGTCTTTGAGTAACAGAAAAATTAGTAGATATTTTGTACAAAGACTTTTACACTATAAGATAGTTAGATATCGACTAAGATTTATCGGTTTGCTCTTTTTTTTCGTATTAGATTACTGGATGATATTCAACGTTTAAATTTACGAACATTAAGATGGGAATATGTTGCTAGATTAATGAATCCTATTGCTGCATGGTTCGATCAAATATTTCTTAATTACAATCTAATCTTTCTAATCTTTAGTGGAATGGCAGTTGAAGGACAACGAATTTATCTCGTGTTAGTTATGACATATTCAAAAATTTTTTTGTTGTTTCATTTTGATGAAATAATCTTTAGAGGTGGTTATGATATTTTTCAAAATCAAACTTATTTCGTCAATACTTTTACTATTTATAATTTGTTGACAGGAAAGTATGATTTAATATTTTTTATTAAAAAAATTTTTGCTTGTGGTCTAATATATATTTATACAGTAGTGACCAAAATTATAAGGGCAGACTGTTTTTCAGTGTTTTTATTTTTGTTTCATGTACTTTTTTTTCTGCTTGCAATGATTTGTGTGTTTAAATATACGCATTCAAGTACGGTCTCTCTGATGGTGCAGTCAGATTTGCTCGATTCGAATTTTAAGTTTGAAAAAATGCAAATTTATTAAAAATCGTGTCTCTGAAAAACATCAGGAAAAGACGCTGGTCTAGCTCAGTTTTTTTGGCTACTAAAACAAAAATACAGATGAATGCGTTTTTCTCAATCTTGTATCAAACAGAGAAGATGTTTTGCTACAAAATAAAACATCTTCGAGTTGTGATGAACTTTTTGTTGGAAAGCTAACAACGTTTTAAAAATAAAAGCATTTTTTCTGTCAAATTTGGCTTGAAAATGTCTATTTTTCGTGTTTTAAATGTAAAAACGTTGTTAGCTTTCTAACAAAAAAGTTCATTAGAACTCGGAGATGTTTTGTTTTGTAGCCAAAAATCTCCTCTATCTGATACAGGATTGAGAAAAATGCATTCATCTGTATTTTTGTTTTAGTAGCCAAAAATCTGAGCTAGACCAGTGTCTTTTCCTGATGTTTTTCAGAGACACAATTTTTAATATATTTGCATTTTTTCAAACTTAAAATTCGAATCGAGCAAATCTGACTGCACCATCAGAGAGACCGTACTTGAATGCGTATATTTAAACACACAAATCATTGCAAGCAGAAAAAAAATATATGAAACAAAAATAAAAACATTGAAAAGCAGTCTGCCCTTATAATTTTGGCCACTACTGTATATTTAGATTTGAAAAATCAACTGATTTGCCATCATCACGTTGTCGCAGTCTAATCTTTGCAACTAGTAATGCTTTGTTTTGTGTATCAGGTCTAATTGAAGGTCGTGATGAAAATGGTAATAAAAAAATTAAAATTTCTACTGTGAGTAATTTTGTTTCAATTGAAAAATAGCCAAATCTTTTTATAATTATATTCTCAAGGATATTTTAAAATGGAAACATGAAACTCCAACATGGATTAAAGTTTCCCAAACACCTGAACTTAGTAAACTTCATGCATTATCATTCAATGGTATAATGCGTAGAATCATACTATATTGATATGAAATAAGTTTCTTTTATTAGATCCTTATCTTGAAATAATGAAACGTAATACTTCTGATAAAGGTGATGCTACTGACACCATAGTTGAAGTAACGATAAAGTCTTTTTCTAAATGTACACGTACAAATTTTATTTAGGCTTATTATGATTTTCGAACAAACATTTGGGCAAATGGCAAACCACCAGCATCACCAATGAAACTTAAAAGTGCATCTGCTATAAAAAATCCAAACAACTCACTGGCGAAATCGCCATCGAAAGCAGCAAATAAAACGAAAGCAACCCCAACTAAAACTCCTTCAATAAGTCAGTCAACATCCAAAAACAAATCGTTTTTAAAAAACAAAACATCACCAAAATCTAAAGGTTTTTTAGTTAAGAAGTCTAATGTTTGTATCAAACACATTCTATTTGTCTTATAGATAAAAAACAAAAAGTTAAACAAAAACACAAGAACAAAAAAAAATAAATAATGAAATATTACTGACTCATGAAAAAAAACTAACAATAATAACTTTATTTTTTGTTTAGACTTTGTTTTAATGAGTTTGATCTATAATTTAAATAATATAATTACAAAATAATTTCAAAACTATCAAATCGATTTTCCTAATATTATCATTAAATTGCATTTTTCAATTCAATACAACAATTGTAGAAGTATTGATGCAGCTGATTGTTAAGAATTTACATCCTATAATTGATAACTCCACGAAAGAATATTTCAATAACAGAAAGACAAATAATTAAATTAAAGTTTCTTTTTTTCCAGTAATAACATATTGATTAGAAAGACGTTTTTTTCTATTTAAAATATTTTTCATTCACTAAAGATTAAATCAATAAATCTTCACTCAACTTCAAATATCTCTGATGTTCATTTCATTTTCTTTATACAAAAAGAAAATTCATTTGTTCTACTCTTTTATTTTTTAACCGCCATTCAAAGGTGTAAATCTATTCATTATCTCTATACTTCATTATTGAATGTCACATTCTAAAATTCTATCTACCACCATCAAACAAGAAAAAAAAACACAAAACCTAAAGATCTTTATTTCTATTAAATAAACAAACATATTTCGAATGAAAATTGTCAATAATCCATTTAGAACTAAAACAGCTCGTGTATATTCATCGGATTATCTCCAATCATTTATAGACAATAAACACTAATCGAATAAACTTGTTAACGTGTGAGATAGAAGTGGAATTTTTCTTGCTGCTGGTCATATGTATATCTATCTTAATTGACCCTCGAGAGAAGACGATGGAGACATACCGAGCTGCATACATTTGCACCCATATTTGATTCGGTAATCAATTAGAAAGAGAACGTAAGACGACAAATAGATTGGCTTATAAAACAATAGACAAAGAGCGAGAAAGGAAGAGAGAGAAAAATGCTCAACAACAAAAATCGATATTTATATATATATATAAATAGAATGAATCGATATTATAATCTATTGATATTGTGATATACACAAATCATGCAAGGTAAATATATCTGAACGATAAACATTAGTTTTTATTTATAATAATCTTGAAAATTCATTATTTAATAGTCTGTCAACATCGTCCATATGAATGTATTCAAGTTTCATATCGTGGTATTAATAAATGTATAACAAATTTTAATCGTTTAACAACAGTTGCTCATGTTATTGATGCATTACTTAATGATTTATCTGAAAAACAATATTTATCTGTAAATGATTGTTGTTTATATATTGAACGTTCACCATATTTATTTCCATTAAAATCAACTGATTTTATTCAAGATATTCTATTACGTTATGCATCAACACATATACATTTTAAATTATCATTTAAACGTAATGCATCACCATCACGTTGGGCACAACGTAAAAAACTTCATCGAACATCATATCAACAAACATCATTAACAAATGCTTATGAACAATTAAAAATTCAAGAATCATTAATACGACAACAACATGAAATAATAACGCAATTGAAAAAAATTAATTTATCAAATGATCATCATAATCAATATAAAACATCATCAAATTATACGAATTATTTCGATTGGATTACTCAAAGTAATCATAATAGTGATAGTGATGATAGCAAGTATGTTTTTTTGAAAATAATAAAAAAGCATTTTTTTTTTTATTGACAAATATTTTTAGAATTTCATCAGATATTATTCCGATATGTAGACGACAATCACGACAAGATGAATATCATAAAGCTATTAATCATAATGCCACAAATACAAGTCGTTCATTATCACGTGTTCGTTTTCGTACTTCAACAGGAAATAATACAAATCAATTACCATCATCGACAACACAAATGAAAAGTATTTTAAAAAAAAATTCATCAAATTATTCTTTTCTTCCACGAACTTCAAGTGTTGATCGTGATATTAATCGTTTAACATCAATTAAACAACGACGAAATAGTTTATATAAATTTGATGATGCTGATGATGATAATTTATCAGATCGAAGTACAACTGATTCATGTTTAGGTTCACTTTCATCGAATGATAATAATAGTTATGTTAGCAATCAACAGCATCTAGAAACACTTGTTTGATCTATGCTTTCTTTTTTTTTTTCGTATATTTTTTTTTTGCATTTATAAAGCTTACTCCAATTTTGAATACATAAAAAAAGGTCTAAAACAACATGTTACCCTCTCTTTTTTTTCGTCGCAGTATAAGAACAAGAAAAAAAAATCGACTTGTCTTTCCCTTTTTATTTTTTATTTTTTTCTTTTAACATAATATCCGATAGTGTTTTTATTACGATAAAAATATAGAACAGAAAAAAAATAATAAAAACTTACGACACATATGTTGCTGTAAAATAAAATATACGCCATCGTCATTGATGATTTTTCCGAGACAAGTCGAAGAATTACAAAAATAAAAAATAAAAAAAAAAAACAGTATTGTAGAATCGAGAAAAAAAAAACTTTTTTCTGATAAAAAGAAGCTTCTCACAAAAAAATCATATTGGGTATATATAAATACGGCAGAATAGATTTGTTATTATTTTTGTATTCTTTTTCTTCTTCTTTTCACTTATCATCATAAAAAAATATAATAATGTCACAAACTAATGGTGTTACTACTGCCATTATAACTAATAATAAAATTAACATTAATGATAATAATAATAATAATAATAATGATAATGATAATGAATTAGAAATTTTACAAAATCTTCAAACATTAGTTCCTGCTATAAAACAAAATTTAATTTTAATGTCTCAACAGTTTACACAATTTATTAATTATACAGAAGATTTTAATAAACTTTCTTCAACAATTCGTTTAATGCAAATAAAACAAGAAAAACTTGAAAAAGAATTAGAACAATATCGAAAAGATCGAAATGATATTGAAAAACAATGTGTAATAAATGCTGATAATCGTGTTTATCTTGATGTTGGTGGTCAACGTTTTACAACAACAATTAAAACATTAGCACAACAAACAAATTCAACATTTTTTCAAACACTTATTAATGAACAATGGAATATAAATACACATTCTATTGATAATCCAATATTTATTGATCGTGATGGACGTTTATTTGATATTATTCTTCAATATCTTCGAACAGGAGAATTAAATATTGAAGATAAAAAAATACACAAAGAATTATTAACAGAAGCTAAATATTATAAATTAAAAAGTTTAGAAGACGAATTAAATGCAATATTAAAAAAAGATGAATTATTTATGCCTGTTAATTCATTCGATGCTGTTAATCAATCACCACCATGTAGTCCATTAGGAATCCTAAACAGATCTCGTTCATCACCTTTTTCACCTACAGTATTATCTAATAATATAACACGTGTATCACCTCTAACTCAACCTATACCAACAAAATCAAAACTTCATCCAGCTCAAACAGCATCATCATGGAGATCAAATGTATTTATAGAAAATCGTTTAAATATTTTTCTTGGAAGTACTTTATTAACTACTGAATATGAGGAAAAACTAATTGAATTCATTGGTAATGACACTCAACAACAACAACCATGGCGTTTAGTTTATCGAGCCAGTGAACATGGTTTTGATGCAGCTGATTTTCATCGTTGTTGTGATTCATTTGCACCAACAGTATCAATTATTCAAACTGATTTTGGAAATATTTTTGGTGGTTTTACATCAATACCTTGGAGTTCAGCTAACTTACGATCTGATCAAGCTGATCCAAAAGCATTTCTATTTACATTAAAAAATACATTGAATATTCCACCAACAAAATTTCCTGTTGCTAAAGAATATCAACAATGTGCAATAAGTCATAATCCAACATGTGGTCCTAATTTTGGTTCACCAAAAAATGAAGGCAGTGATTTATGTTTAAGAAATAAATTTAATGAAAAAACTAATTGTATATTTTTTCCCAAAAGTTATATTGATTCAACTAATCAAGGTGGTTTAATATTTGCTAAAAAATATTTTGCCTGTAAAGAAGTCGAAATATTTACTTTAATGACCAATAGTTAAATGAATTTTATTATTAATTAATAGTTCAATTAAAAATTATATTTAATTAATTAAATAAACACACATATAATATATATATAAAAGAATGTGTATTGAGCTACGATGTGTTATAAAAAATGTATATGAATAAAAAATTTTAATTAACATTCTAATATATGATAAACTAAATTGTTCTATTTATTGTAAAAAGAAAAGAAGCAAAATGTGTAAATTATTTGCATATTCTTATTTTAAATGCTAATATTAGATTCATATTGTCTTCAATAGTCTTTTGTAGAATATTTTTAAGTAGGAAACACTAAAAAGAAGATCACTGTTTTTTTTTAGCTTGATATTTGAATTTCAATACGATTATTGCTTTTATTCTCTTATGAAAATGATTCTCAACATAAGTTATTATTTTTTATTATGGTAAAACATCTTGCATAAGTATTTTTTTTTACGAAAGTCATTTCATATTGTTTATTCATGATATTCCTTTTATTTCCTATGAGTAAAACGTGTTTATTAAAATGAATAATTAATAAAATACTCATCCGAAACAAATTACTGTTATGAAGAAATAATTTATACATTGATGTTCATCATTCAGTAATATTAAACCTAATTTGTTACGAATTCTTCAATTTAATTACTTTTCTTCCTTGAAAATATGTCCTTCTTAAGGCAAAATTAACTTTTTTTTTTTTTGAGTTTTGACGCATTAATCTTTCTATATAACACTTGCATGTTGTTTCAATGTACCTGTTTGGACGATTTCCTCGAATGATTGTAACTTGATACAGAAAAATATAGTTATCAAAGCAAAACATATATTTTATATCTTCATTGATAGATTTTTTCTATTTTTGTCTCGAAACGAAATATAGTTTAGGTATACATGAAGGTTTTCTCAACAAATGTTCTTTGAAATTTTTTTCGAAAAATTTTTAGTTTTCAGTAACTAATGTAAATTTACATCATTGAGTTTTTTTCTATGCAAATAAAAGAAGAGGATTATTAAATTATAATGAATATTGTCGAATGGTAATACTCTGTTTAAAAAATAACACTCTTTCAAATTTTTTTATACACTTGCCCAAGAAATGTGGATAAACTTCTAACTTTAAGTAGTATAGTGACAAAATTTTTCGATAAATATTCATTGCTTTAAAGAAATTGTCTACCTTGATATGCACCAACATGGTTTTATTGAAACAAGTAACTATATTAAGATGATTTGACGAACGACATGTTTGAGTGAATATGATGCTTTTTTTCTAAGACACAAGTCCTTTTGAGTATACATTCAAATTATAATGTGCACAAGTTATGTTGCAGTGTAAAATAGTCATTTGACAATGATTCTTAGGAAAAGTTGTTTAACAGATTTGACGTGCTTTTTTAAGCATATAATAAAAATTCTCATTAGTATTCGCTCATGCTACCATATATCGACCTAATGTTATTATAAAGAAGATAGCCAACTATGTCTGATTTAGGGGAAGAATTTTTTGTAAGACTTTACTTACATTTTTGTTTGAAATAAAAGTACTTTGAGATACTCATTCATTGTTTCTTATACTAAATGAACACAACGCGTGTGAAGGAGGGATATCAAGATGATCTGCAGAAAGAATTTTGTGATAAATTTCAAGTACTTTTTTTGTCAGATTTGAATAATTCTACATGCTTCCAAGGAGAAAATAGAATTGGATTTTTTCATTATTATATTATGTTTGATTAACCATTACTCCATTGAATTGTTTGACTCTGTCACACTAATCAAATTTGTTTAGTCATTTTCTTAGCCGATGCCATCCTATCAGTCCATCAACCACTTCTCGTATTGGATCCGTAAGAGCGTAGAACTATGAGTTACTTCCAGTAATGAGCACTAGTTTCACTATCCATAGATAATTATGATTAATAATTCGTTCGATTGCATCGATGCAAAAAATGACGTGCATGAAGATTATCATTTTTTTTGTATCGTTAATTGGAATTGTTTCGAGTAATCGTTGGCAGAATGTCCTCTAATTAATATTGATCAAAAGAAAATAATAGAATGACATCAAGCCCCAGTTTATCGTTGTCATCAAACTATTTACTACAATAGAAAATATAATTTTTACTATATAGATCTTTGAAATTTTGAGTTAATAAAATTTATTTAAGAAATTGTGTATTCATTAAAATATTGATAACGTGTTATAATTCTATAATTGCATTGTGTCTATGGTAGTTACTCAGTTAGTCAATACTACCGTTCAGCCGAATGAAAAGAAAGCTTTTGAATAAGACAAATGTAAGTTTGTTGACATGTTTTCGTGTTTGTGTGCTCAGTCAGTGACACTGCATTTGCACTTATGAAAGAACTACGCATCTGTTCGATCTTCACTTTATCAATAGATTTGTTAGAAGTTTTTGATCTTTTCTCATGAAAAAATGTGTTAGTTATATGTTATTTAATTAGAAATAGTCGAGAAAGAAATGTTGATGTTAGAGTGAAGAACATTTTTTGATTTATTTTTTGTTTTGTTACTAATAAATTATACCAACTTCTTCCATTCAATATGTTGTCACATTATATACAAAAAAACATTGACAAAAATCTCTCTAGGCAACGAACAAGTGAAACAAACGATAAAATATTTTGTTGGTATGTTTACCATTGCTAAGAAACGGGTATATTCTATGAAAAGAAAAATACTAAATACATATTTTTTTCTCTTGAGAGAATTCTCATGAGCTTTATTCTATTTTACACTTTACTTCCGTACGTGTGTCAACTATTGAGAGAGTTCATACAATTTGCAGAATACAAGAATAGCACTCAACAAAATACAATACTATAATGAAATTTTAAATAGAAAATATCATTAAAATAATAGAAATTCATTTTTTTAATTTTCGACATGGATCCAGAAATGAAAATTTTTCGAATAAAATCATAGAATAATTATTGATTTTGCATGCAATGCAAAGAATTTCTTTTTTTTACAGCATCACATCGATCTGAAAAAATATAGACTTGCGATCAATTAAAATTTATTGAATAGAATAAATTTAACATTTTCTCGTT